TTATATATAGCTTTAATCAAAATTTTGAAATTACTATAAGTGTATAAACAATTAACAGATTAAAATAAAAAATTGGCTATGTAATCAAAAAAATTTTTTTAAAAAATTTAAAAAATTGTTAATATAGCTTAAAATTCTATATAAAATTATCTTTAATAAAAAAATTTATTGCTGTATACTATGCTCTATTTTAATTCTAATTTATAACTTTAATATTAAAAATGATTTTTTTAAAAAAATCTAATAATCACCTGTGAAAATCTAATTTTTGCTAAAATTTGTAAAACCAGAATAGAAGTTGAATATAATACAAATTACACAAGGTTTTTAGAGGTTTTAAACATTTTGTTTAATATACTTGATTTTGTATTATAATCAATTTATTGAAATAGCAATACAGGTAATAATCGCCTGTAATACGTATAATACGTATAAATTAGCAATTTCCATTTTTAAATTTATTATACATTATAAATTTAGGTGATAATCGCCTGTAATAGATAGTAATCGGTTTCTTTTTAATACGTACAGTAATTAAAAATATAAGTTTATAAAATATATTTGAAATAATATATTCTATAAAGAAAATATACCCCATATCATTAATAATATATTGTTTTTTATTTAAAAAATTTTAAATTTTTAAACAAGTTTACCTGAAAAACAGTTTAAGGGACACTATTCTTGAATTACTAATTCTTTAAAATTTACACTACAATGTTCAAAAGCTGTAAATCCATCCTCATCTTTAATTATAATGTTAGCGCCATTTTTATACAAATATCTTGCACAATCCAGATGCTCAGAAATACATGCTATATGTAGAAAATTGTAAATAATTATGTAACAATAAATAATTTAAAATTATATTAGATATAAATTACCATAATGCAAAGGAGTCTCATTTCCAGTTGTCTAAAATATATATATGATAGAAATAAAAATTTTAGATTAAATAACTAATAAATGAATTAATACACAAATAATAGTTTTATAAATTATTACCAAGAGGTTTATATCGGCACCTTTTTCGACCAATAATTTAACGACATCCAAATGTCCTCGATCACAAGCCCAATGCAAGAGCGACAATCCCTTTATATAATTTTTAAATCA